GATTCTTCTGGTGGGATAAAGGAGATATAAAGAACGACCCAGTGGAATATAGAATGAAAGTACACCTTTTCAGAGCATTCTTGTCTCCAGGGTGCGCAAACTTTGGCTTCAAGAGAGCGGCCGATGACGGAGAAATGGAGTTTGGCACGAAAGCGGCAAACTTTGTGCGTAAAGACTTTTATGTAGACGATGGATTGAAGTCAGTACCATCTGTTAAAACTGCCGTCGACCTCATTCGTAACACACAAGCCATGTGTGCAAAGGCTGCCCTCAGATTACACAAGTTCAGCAGCAATAAGAAAGAAGTCATTCAGGCTGTTGCCCCGGAAGATCGCGCAAAAGGATTACAAGAATTGGACCTCGCGCGTGACCCCTTGCCAATAGAACGAACTCTCGGCATCATGTGGTGTGCTGAGTCAGACACCTTCCAGTTCAGAATCGTTATTCAAGATCGTCCACTTACTACGAGAGGGATCCTGTCCACCGTGTGCTCTGTATATGACCCACTTGGTTTTGTGGCACCCCTCATTCTGATGGGAAAACAAACACTACAAGATTTATGTCGTAACAACGCCGACTGGGACGACCCAATTGGTGAGAAGCTTAGACCGAAATGGAAACGATGGCGAAACGAGTTGCACGAGCTGGAGAAACTCAAGATACCTAGATGTTACAAACCTGTGGGTTTCGGTGAAATTAAAGCAGTGGAGGTGCATCATTTCTCTGACGCAAGCTTAGCAGGATATGGTCAGTGCAGCTATCTGCGTCTTCTAAATAAGGACAATCAAGCCTACTGTTCCTTTCTTATGGGAAAGTCCCGTGTTGCCCCGTTAAAGTTCATAACAGTTCCTCGATTAGAGTTGCAAGCTGCTGTCGTTTCGATTAAAATAAGTCAATGGCTGCTGAAGGAACTTGATTACCAAGACGTATCAGAATTCTTTTGGACAGACAGCAGGGTTGTGATTGGTTACATCAACAACGAGACTAAGCGCTTTCACACCTTCGTGGCAAATCGCATTCAGCAGATTCATGATCACACCAGCCCTCAACAGTGGCAGTACATTGAATCAAAGTCAAATCCAGCCAATTCCACCTCTCGAGGCCTTACAGCTTGGCAGCTTGTAGACGATGATTCCAGGTGGCTTAGAGGCCCAAACTTCCTCTGGAGTCCAGGTGCTTATCGAACAGAAGTAGAGGAAAATCCGCAACCACTAGATTCTGACGACCCCGAAGTGAGGAGAGCATCACTGGTGACGCAAACAAACGAGACACATCCAGTTCATTTTGAGATTAGCCGACTGGATCGGTTTTCTGACTGGTTCAGAGCAAAGAGGGCTATAGCAGTTTGCTTGCAACTTAAACAGCGTTTAAAGGAGGGAAAGAAAGCTAAGCAAATCGTCAGATACCAACCGGTGAACGTCAATGAAATTGGTCAAGCGGAGATAGAAATTATTCGCTGCCTTCAGCATGAGCATTTTAAGGACGAAATCAAGATCTTGTCATCGCTGCAAGAAAGTGAAGAATTCCATGACAGGAAAACAGCCAAGCAGCGCAACTCCAGGCTCAAGAAATGCAGTAGTTTATACCGACTCGATCCGTTCTTGGATTCAAATGGCATTTTGCGTGTTGGGGGACGCCTTAGAAGGGCCATCATATCAGAAGATGTTAAACACCCTGTTATCCTGCCAAGAAAGTCTCATATCACTTATCTTATTCTCAAACACTGCCATGAAGAGACCCAGCATCAAGGTTATGTAATGACTCATAATGAAGTGCATCAACGCGGTTACTGGATAATTGGTGGCACTTCCGCCGTCTCTCGTTTTGTTTCTAAGTGTGTCATGTGCAGAAGGCTGCGCCTCCCTCCGCAGCACCAGAAGCTAGCCGACCTTCCTGAAGACCAGATAGAACCTGCAGCTCCTTTTACATACAGTGCAGTAGATTACTTTGGTCCCTTTGTGGTGAAAGAAGGTCGTAAGGACGTGAAGAGGTATGGCGTGTTGTTCACATGTATGTCATCTCGAGCCATTCATATCGAGACCGCAAATACACTGGAAACTGACTCATTTATCAATGCCCTTAGACGCTTTCAAGCAGAACGTGGTCCTATTCGCCAGCTTAGGTCAGACCAAGGTACGAATTTTATTGGCGCTCATCGAGAACTAAAGGAAGCTTTGAAGGAGATAGATCAAGATAAAGTGCGCACCAGCCTGTTGAAAGAGAACTGTGAATGGGTTGATTTCAAATTGAATCCCCCCTCTGCGAGCCACATGGGTGGCTCATGGGAGCGTCAAATTAGGACAGTTAGGAGCGTACTTGCCTCCTTGTTAGAAGAATGTGGCAGCCAATTGAACGATGAGAGTTTTCGTACTCTTATGAAAGAGGTCCAAGCAATAGTCCAGGCCACTGGCCTTGAATGACATGTCGTCTCCCGATTCAGCAGAACCTCTAACGCCAAATCACTTGTTGACGATGAAGAGTAAAGTACTGATGCCTCCCCCAGGCGTATTCGTTAGAGAGGACATCTACCTTCGCAAGAGATGGAGAAGAGTCCAGCACTTGGCAAACGTGTTTTGGGAAAGATGGAGAAAAGAATTTCTGCAAACACTCCAGCTGCGGAAGAAATGAGTCAAACCACAGCGTAACATGCTTGTAGGCGACATTGTCGTGATTAAAGATGAGAACGCACCTAGGAACATGTGGAAATTGGCAAGAGTTGAAGAGGCTTTTACAAGTGAAGATGGCCTTGTCAGAAAGGTGAAGCTTGCTATCGCCACGCGCAGTCTTGACAAGCGAGGACGAAGAATTGATGCTGTTCATTACCTCGAGCGACCAGTCCATAAGTTGGTTCTTATCCAGGAAAGTGACCGGGAATTCCCCGACGAGGAGCCAAGTAAACGCCTGATTGGAACTTTGTCTTAGAACTTGTAGTCGTTTGATAAATATGTAAGGAACACTTTACTTTGGACAGTGGATTCCCCCTGTGGGGAGCCATGTGGCTGCTAGCCAGCCCAGGACCGCACGGTAGTGTAATTTTCGCGCCCTTTTGGGGTCACGTGACCAAGCCGTTATTTGTAAGTTGCATGATCGTTAGTTCAACGGTCAGAGATTACTTCGCTCGCTAGTTCAGCGATGGATTTTGGTTTTTCTGGACAAATTTACGATAGGCTCACAAGGTATTAGTCTTTCTTTCGTTTTCCTCTTTTATTTGGTTTATTACTTCGCCTGTTGTAATTTTCTAGTTAAGTTTGAATTCGTATTTGTTTACTTAGTACATTTCTCGTCGCATGTAATTAAGATCTTTCTATTGTATTTTCCTTTCTAGCTTTACGTCAACCTTATCTACTTGTCAGTAAAACAACAGCCGTTTTTCAGTGTTAGAATTCACCGCGTTTGAGTTGTTGTCTCAATGTGGTCACAGTATATATAAATGATCTATGTAATGTGTCAAAGGTCTTAGAGCTGATACTATTTGCTGATGACACTAATATTTTCTATTCGCATACTGATGCTTCCTATCTTATGGAAGTTGTAAATTTAGAATTGAAAAAGATAACGTGTTGGTTTTATACAAATAAGCTATCTATTAATGTTAAGAAATCTAATTTTATCATATTCAGACCGAGACAAAACAGGCAAACACTTGATCTAGCTTTTAATATTAGTAATTATTCGATTGATTGTGTTAAGGAAGCTACTTTTCTTGGTGTAATTTTGGATGAACATTTAACATGGAAAACACATATACACAATGTTGCTCGGAAAGTGTCTAAAGCCATAGGTATAATTTATAAATAAAGTTTTTGCCTTAATAATTCCTCCTTACGGATGCTTTATTTTAGCCTTATCTACCCATACTTATTCTACTGCGTGAGTGTCTGGGCATTGACCTACCCATCAAACCTCAGAAGATTTATCACACTTCAAAAATGGGTTGTAAGAATAATGTCGAGGAGTGCTTGATGCTCACACTGACCCCTTATTTAAAAATTTAAAAATTCTGAATCTTGAGAGTATCTACAAACTTCAAATAGGAAAGTTTATGTATCAATACAGATCTGGCTTACTTCCTTATAGCTTCAATACCATGTTTTTGGTGACACACCAGGTGCATTGTTATGGCACTAGAAGTTCGGAGCATTTTCATTTACCACAACGCAGGACTAATATAAGAAAGTTCTCCATCAGTTTCCAAGTTCCTAAATTTTTTAACTCTCTTAGTTTTGAAATTCGAAATGCAACAAGTACCACTTCCTTTTGCTGTAAGCTGAAAGCATTCCTCTTATCATAAATAGTAATTTATATATATATGTAAAACGAAATGATGAAATTCACAATTACCATAGACTATATACTTTGAGATTACATTGTTCGGGAAAATTTAAATTTACATGTTTAATTGTTACATAGCAACGCTTTGTTTCTGTGGCGGCAAGAAGATACAAGTTCGTTACGTTTGTTAAGGGATGATAGATTGGGACGACAGATAATTAAAAATTTCTCTTTGAGGCAAAGGTTAGACGTTTTACTTGAACTGTTATAGGATGAGCTAGATGAAATGATACGCCATGAAATAGAGTAGTCAATGTTGTTGTCTTTCAGGGACCAGACATGTTTACTTAGTTCCGTAGAGTTCCTGTGCTTTGTGTGACGGAATGATGCAGTGTGGTTTCTGTACCTAGTTTTGAAGGCGTTTTCTGTGAGTCCGATCTATGTTTCAGAAGTGTTATTGTCGTTACGTTTGACGGTTGCTTGGTAGATAACTGATGATTGAAGGCAGTTTCCGTTAAGAGGGCATGAGTTTTTTTGTCGGCAGTTACATGATTTGTTGTCAACAGAGTTATCTGTGGATTTATCTGTGTGTTTGGATGCATTCAGGATACGCTTGTCGTGGTTGTCAATAATTTGTTTAGTGTTATTCATGCAACTGTAACTGATCTTGATAGTATTGCGGTTGAAGATTTTTCTGAGTTTGTTCTCTTTAGGGAAGTGTTTGTCTACTAGGGTGAGGAATCTGTGACCGATGGTGGTGTTGACGTTTTTGCTGAACGGGGGGTTGTACCAGAGGATGTTGTTGCGTTGTCTGTTTCTCCATTTAGCAGTTGTAGTCGGTTCATAGTGTAGAGTATAGTGGTATCCGCTTTCGTCGAGTGCTTTTTGGTACGGGGGGGGGGGGGGTGGCTTGGTCGAATGATGCTTTGTCTGACGAAAGGGATGATAGCCGTCTGATGATGCCGGCGGGTATGTTCTTTGTGGTGATCGGTGGATGGTTGCTCTCGCGTAGACGTACTGTAGCGTGGTGTTAGGGTGCGTTTCTTTAAAAAAATCCAAGATTGGATTCTTAATCCGAGATCATGCGGATTCGTTATTTTTAAAGACACGAAAAATCCGAAAATGGATTTTTTTTCAATTAGCCGTAACGACCCCAGCATGCAGTTCGCGTGTTTTGAGGGGGAGTTTTCAAAATGGCGGAAAGTTTTGGTTTGATGTTTGAACTGTTCGAAGAAGTCCTTGCCGATGACCTTGAACAACAACAGGTTCTTTTAGGAGCCGATGACGAAGCAGTTTATTCCTTTTGGCGGCCGGACAGCTCGTCCGAAAAGAACACGTTCGCACAAAGAATTTTTACGAAATAACCGTACCTAGTTACATACCGGAGGACTTCCGAAGTCACTTCCGCATGTCACGGCATACAGTTACAGTTCTCGAACATTTGCTTTCGGTCCACGGCGACTTACCTCAATACACCGGCGATAGAGGAAGACCACCGGTCGAGTTAAGAAAGCAAATACTTATTACGCTGTGGATTCTTGGGAATCCAGAATGTTTACGCTCTGTTGCCGATCGATTTGATGTTTGCAGGGCAACTGCGTACAGAGTCTACAGACGAGTTTGCAAAGCAATAGTGACGAACTTAATGGATGAGTTTATCAAGTTTCCAACTGGTCTAAAAGCCCAAGCGGTGATGGAGGCCTTTGAAGAGAAAAAGGGTTTTCCGGGTGTTTTGGGGGCTATTGATGGCACCCACATACCAATCAAAGCACCACATAACAATCATGAACAATACATAAATCGCAAAGGTTTCTTTTCCGTCCAACTACAAGTCATTTGTGACCCGGATTTATTCATAACCGATGTTTTCTGTGGTTACCCTGGTTCAGTACACGATGCTCGCGTGTTTCGTAATTCTCCGATCTGCCGAGAAGTTGAAGTGAACCCAGACAATTATTTTCCTGGCAACTCCCACATTTTGGGAGACGCAGCATATCCCTTTGAAGAGGTGGCTGTTGACCCCATTTCGAGACAACGGACGTTTGACTGCTCAACAAAGACGTTACAATACTGCCCACAGTTCCACCAGAATGGTGGTTGAGAGGTCCATAGGGCTTTTTAAGAACAGGTTTAGGAAGCTAAAAAAACAATGATGGATGTTGACAAAATTGAGGACATACCGAAATTATTGTATCCTCTTGCATCTTACACAACATTTGCATTATTGAAGATGACATCGATGATTTTTTAGATGACTCTAATGATGATGATGACAATGATGACAATGATGATGACATCTTTCCACCAGGTGTAGGAGCAGTTGATAAGAGAAACATGATAATGAGACTGATCCCATAAACCTAGCATTTATAAGTGGTTTATGTATTGATACCTTTTGTACTGTGGTGTTTTCATGAACACTTCTTTCATAGGTGGTGTATGTCATTCATAAAGTTTATACTGTATAATAGTCTTTTTGCTATAAATATCAATATTTTATTTGTTTTTAAAAGTATATAAGAAAATAGTAGAGCCATGTACATGGATCACTTTATACTACCTGAAACATTTATGGTGTTGCTTGAAATGTAAACTTTCAACACAAATGTAACAGCCTAATACTCTGACAGTCCAGGTTGCTTGTGTCACGCACAGAAAGGAGGAAGTGCGTGACACAAGTGATCTGAAGCATCTGAGAATCAGGCTAAAAAAAGTAAAGGATATAAATAATATCAAAACCAGTTTAGTTAGGCCCTCTCACCTAATGTTGCTGTTGTAGTTCCTTGTATATATGTGATAAAAAAAACATACAACTTGCAATAATACTGTTAACAATGATATAATAAACTTTTAGATAACTCAATACTGACAACAAACTCAGGTTTACTGTATCTATGTTCATGTTTGTGGTCAAATAATCCCATGTTCTGCAACACAAGAAAAAATTATGGAATCAAGGGGCGCTTTCCATTTACGAAAAAAACCCGGAAATTTCGGTGGTAGCAAAAGTGGAATTTCCGATTGGTAAAAAGTTGTTCCATTTGGTCGTAAACCCCGGTACGTGGCCGGGTGCCCGACCGTGGACCTGGAACTGGTACAAACTACAAGAAACGTCAATGGAACACGACATTCCGTTCGGAAATTCCAACCGGGAAAACGGGACCACCTTTTTAGATTTTCCACTTTTTCTGGGAATTTTCCAGTGGAACGAACCGACGAAACGTGTTCCATTTACCGCCGAACCGGAAATTCCGGAAATTTTGAGTAAATGGAAAGCGCCCAAGGTTACTCTTTGTTCAATGATTTTTCAAAAACATTCAAAAATCGGCCCATGAGTGCCATGCGTTCATTGTGCATATTTTCAAACTTTTTAATCTTTTCCTTTTCTTCCTCTTTCCTGTCTTGTGTAAATTCCTTAAAGAGCCCAACGAGGTCTTCTCTTTTCTTCCGCTCTGGTAACTTCTTTTTCTTTGCTTTTGTAACCACAGGCTCCTCTGTGTCACTACCTGTGGAACTCAATGTGGAACTGGAATTTTTAACACTCTTGACTGCATCTTTGCTCCGTTTACCATCAATGTTGCTGCACAATGTTTTTGGAGCGATGGCATCATCTTTCGAAAATATTTCGTGAAGTTCGTCATAGAAGTTGCATTTCTTTCGGTCATTTCCGCTGACTTTGTTGTGATCAACACAAGCAACATAACTTCTCTTCAGTTTTTTCAATTTCGTCTCACACGCCTTGGCATTAAAGAACACTCCGTTCTTCTTTAATTCTTCGCTGATTTCTTCCCACAGGGACTTGTTCTTTTTGTTTATATCTTTAAATCATTCTCTGCGTTCGACATAGCAGGAAATTAACAACAGCACATCAGCTCTAGACCAGCGTACAAGAGCTCTCGATTCGCCTTCGGTGCCTTCCCTCGACTGACTGAACGTGGCTGCAGTTGTTTCCAAAGAAGAAAAACTTGGACCAGGCTGAGGTGATACTGATCTGACTGTTTCATGGCTGAACTGTGATGCCTGCGGTGGTGGAAACATGAACTGAGGAAGATAAGGTTGAATGCCCGGTTGAACGTGGCTTTCGTTCCACTGATATTCTGGATATTCACCTGCAGATAAACTGTGCGTCCAATATTGTCCTGTAGATAGAAATAAAAGATGCCAAGACGCATCAAACATCCGGAAAATTTATAAAAATACGTACAGGACGGAAAATTTCGGTGAAACTACACAAAAAACTCACCTTGTTTATTCGCCATGGCCGGCAGCAGCTAATATTTACAACAAAATGGCGGGAATGTGGCGGATTTTAAGAAGACGACCGCTTGCCAAACGTACTGCTTTTTGTATCCGTGCAATAAAGAAACGCACGGATCATGAATCCTAAAAATCCGGATTTAGATTTGATCTAATGAATCCACTCGGAGTGTGGATTCTATAGATTCAAAATCCATTTTCGGATTTTATTAAAGAAACGCAAAATCCGTTTTTGGATTCAAGAATCCGGATTTGGATTTTTTTAAAGAAACGCACCCTTAGGCTTTGTGAAGGGCCGGTAGGTGCTGTTGTTAAGGTTAAAGGTGACGTCTAGGAAGTTAATGATCTGTTTATTGGCTTCAATTGTGATGCGTAGTCCATTTTAGTTAAATACATGGCATATTTCCTTCTTGATGTTTTCTGTGTCTCTCGGTGCGGCATTAGAAATGGCTAGACCGTCGTCTCTGTAGAGCCCTATGTTGACATCAAGGTGTTGTAATTGTGAAAGCAGGAAACTTCCTACTAGCACACATGTCTCGGCGCCATCGTAGCTGCCCATTGTAACGTCAAATGTTGTGTCGCCCTTCTTTTGCCATGCTTGTTGCTTGTGTATTAGGATTGACTTCTTGGCATGTATGATGTTTAGTTCGTCGTTCGTGATGTTGTCGTAGGCTGAGGCAAAGTCAAGTGCCTTGTTGAGAAGGTCTTGGCTGATGGAGGGGTAGAATTCTACGATGTCGAAGCAAATAAAGCTGTGATGTTGTTTGTTTTCAATAGTTTTAACCCACTCGATCACGGAGGTGGAGTTTTTCCATTGGTTGAATTTGGATGCTCTCGTGATTTTGTTGTTGATTCTGTCGAGGGTTATATATATATGTATTTTTTTTCTTCCTTTGCTCTTTTATTTTCTTTTTGTTTTTTTTCTTTTTGTCATTTCGCTTTTTTTAGCCTACAACTATGATTAGTACGACTATCTAATATGCTTATTTTAAGATTTACTGTAGCTCTGCCATTGATTTTCCCATGTGTAATTACGATAATATTTTGTTCTAATTATCTAACTGAGGGAGCCCATTCCTTATAAGCCCGGTGGCTTCTCTTGGGCTTCCTCGCCATGAGAGTTTAAGTAATTAGATTTTATTACTCTTTTATTTACTCTTCAGGAACGATATCCTTTCCATTTGTTGTACTTATTTATTGGTGGACTGAAGCACCACCGTTCTTTAACCCTTAGGACATGTCTGACCAAAGGTAAGTTATTTTTTGGCACAAAATTTGTGTGTATGTATATTATCAGTGGTTAATATGCTTTCAATGTTTTCCTGCTCATGCTTCATTGTTTCATGATGCATGCTTAACTGTTTTTAGTGTGTTGTCTGAGACAAACACATAGGCCCCTTACAGAATGCTCTGACATGCTTTGTATGCATGTTAAAGCAATCTATTGCTTTTAACCCTTGCCAAAAGAAGATATACTAAAAGTAGACTTCAAGTATACTAGAAGTGTACTGCAATTATAGAGCGTCTGCTTTTAAGTGTTCTTCAGTTGGTGAAGTATAGTTTCAGGATACTGCTTGTTTCCTCTCCAAGTGAAATAGAGTTTAAGTATACTTAAAATAGAAACTCACTCTAAAATCATGAATTAACATTGAAGTCAAACTGACAATTACCATGATTTACAACAAATGAGATACAAGAAGAAGACACAACTTACCACAAACCAATCGAAGCCAAAAAGACTACAGCAAAGCACACAAGAAATCTAAAAAAACATCAAACAGCAACAGACAAGATTATTGGAAAACATAACTCGCTTAAACAAAATAAGTAAAAAGAAGTCATTAAATCATGAATTCATAATGAAGCAACACTGTCAATTTCCATGAGTAAAGGATAATGAAATAGACAAGCAGAGAACTCTGAAGTCTGCAGATAAAGCCCGCCTACTTCAGCCTAAGTATCACCTTGAAACCTATTGTTATGGAGCTTTTGTTGTTATTATTTACATTTTGTTGACAATTGCCTTTTAGTGTTTAAATATTTAATTTAGTCACTTTTCATTACAGCCTGTGTGTTAGAAGTACATTTGTGGATTTCAAGGTTGTAAATTTCATTAGGTTATCGGCCCTGATCAACGGAATGGAACAGCATTCACAACATATGAAACATCTTACTGATAGACTTGCAGCAGTTGGTGCACCTATCTCCAAAGAGGACCAGGTCGTAACTCTCTCGGGCAGTTTACTGAGAAATTTTGCATCATTAGTTACAGCCCTGGAAGCTACAACTAGTAGCAAAACTGTTGAGACACTCCCATGATAAAAACAACCTTTCATGCTTCAAATCGCTGCTAGTCACAGGTCTGTGAGATATAACACTGACCTCCCTCCCATTCAGAGTTGTTCCTCCAAGTTTTGAGCATGGTCTCGTACTGCTACCAACTTTGATAAAGGGTGGAGGGGGGAGCACAAGCACAAGATCATGGACAGGCCTTTTATGCCAAAATACCATACATTGTCTGAAGTACTTTTGCAGCTGGTTGTCACGTGGATGATATCACCTTCAATTTTGTTCAACAAGCTCTCAGACGTGAAAATGAAGCAAACTGAGATGTCCCATAGTTCGAGCGAAGCGGAGTCAGTGTTAAGTGGAGTTACCACGAGAAATAAACCATGTGGTCCACCAACGTGTTTTGAGTGTGCTGAAGTAGGCCAGACTTGCCGTTACTGTACTTCCAAGAAATCTAAAGGGCAGAAAGCCAGGCTAGCAGAAGGTCAGGATGTTAGGATGATCTCATTAACAAGTATGGGATGCCTGTGCAATTTATAATATAAAATAAAAGTTCCCGGATGTTGCTGAAAAAGTGGCCAGTTTGATCTTTGTAAATTCAATCTGACAATCTGAGTAATCTTCCCTCCGTCTTGAACGGAACAGGTTATGGGCCCAGGACAAGGTATGGGAGACTTCTTCTCGATGGAGATGAGCGCAAATATGAAAAATGGGAAATAAAATTTCTCAGATACATGCAATTACAAAAGTTGAAGGATACCATTACTGTAGCTGAAGATACAGAAATTGATGCTGCCAAGAATGAAGAAGTTTTCATGGAGTTGATACAATTTTTAGATGATAAAAGCCTTGCCCTCATAATGAGAGATGCACAGGATGATGGGAGTAAAGCATTAAAGATCCTTAAGAGCCCACTATGCTGGTACAGACAAGCTAAGAGTGATTTCGTTGTACACGGAACTGACTTCGTTAGTGAAGTTGGCACATGAGACAGTGACTGACTATGTCATACGAGCGAAAACTTCAGCCACGGCTTCTAGAAATGCCAGTGAAACCACCATGACAAATAGCCTCCTAATAGCGATGGTACTGAAAGGTACTGAAAGCTCATTACTCAGAGAGAGAAACCACAGACATTCAGGGAATTCAAAGTTGCCTTGCGAAGCTTCACAGACATTGAACGACCCAACATAGCGACCGGTAATCACTCAGTCACGAAGACTGAACACAAGCAAGAATCTCAATGGTATGTCACCTGTTTGCCAACCAGGGCATATCGCTCGTTTCTGTTATAGTAAAGACAAGAGAAAAAACGGACGGGGACACTGGTGCAACATTTGTCATAACTCCTCAAAGGGAAAAATAAGACTGAAAGTAAAGAAAAGTAAAGTAAAGCTTCTGGGACTTCGGTAGATCCTGATGAGGAAGTGGAGCATGCAAGTGAAAGCCATGATTTAATACATGCAAGGGTACTTCCTGTATGCCATAGAAATGCAATTTGTTTATGAGGCATTGATGGGGTACTTTATAGACTGCTTTACTAATTGCCAGGTCTTCAACAGTGAGTATTAACCGAGTTTCACATGAATGATTTTTCCGATATCCATGTTGTTTCGCAAATAAGCTGTCATTGTCCTCAAGATGGTGCACAATGTTCTCATAAGTAATATGTTCCATGGTTATCACATAACACAGCAGCAAGGGACACAGGCCTATAATAAATGATCATGTTTTTCCCCTTTCTTGAAAACTGGGACTACATGAACATTTCTTCAGTCAATGGGAAGTTGACCTGATTCATATCACTGGGTGAAAAGGAAAGTAACAACTTCAGCTACTTCTGATGCATTCATCTTAATCACAGTAGTTGGCAATTTATCTGGGCCATTGGCTTTCTTGCTTCTTAGTTCTTAAGGAGATTAATAATACCCTCTCTGTTAAATATTACTGAGTCCACTGCTGGAAAGACACTGCAGCCTTTGCTTGGTATGGATGCAATTTCCTTTTTAGGGAATATGTTGAAAATGGTTGCTTAAAACTTCAGGCTCACTTGTACTCTCAATCAACACCTTATCATAGGCATTTAATGGAGGAATGCCAATTCCACCATGTTCTCTATATTTAATTCAAGACAAGAATTTCTTTGGCTTCTCCCTCAAGGCACAATCAAGAGTATTTGCTATATATTTGTCTTGTGCTGATATGAGTTTGGTTTTCAATGCTATTTGGAATTTCCAATATTTCAGCTTATCACCAGCCTTCCCTAATTTTTTGTATAGATGTTATATACACTCTTCTTTTTTCTCAACAATTTCGTGTGACTGATGCCTGCCTTGTAGGAGATGATACAAGTTTAGTTAGACCATGATCATCCACAATGTTGAGGAATTTCTGATTCACTAAAACACTGTATTTTGTGTTGACTCCTGATACTGTTGCAGCTCAGGTTTAAAACTTTTAGTTTTCTCAGGCTTTGTATTCTCTCCTATTGAGTAGAGAACTGATCATCATTCAAACTGGAAGAAATTATAAAGGTCCCATTCCATGGATGTACTAAAGAGCGAAAAATTTATAGAAGTTCAGGAGGCTACGTGGTCGAGCGGTTAGTGCCAGACTTGTATTTGGAGGCCCTCAAGTCCCGCTCTGGCCGCTAGCTGGATTGGTTCTTGGTTGTCCCAAGTTCGAATCCTCGACCACATTTGAAAATAGCCAACTGGTTCGCCCCTGCCCAGTTAGGATTCTTAACCCCTCTACCTTTGATTTAATTTATTTGTTTTAGGAATTTGCTCGGTCCCACTGCATTAATAGTACTAAAAATAATGAAGAATAATTAAAGAATACGCTATATTTCCTAGTAGAATTAAAACTGCTGTTTCCAGAATGTTTTCAGGGATCACAAATGCAATTTCAGAGCCAAAGATTAGTCATGTTACAGACAGACGTATGTTACAGCAGTGATTTTGTTACAGTTTGCTAATAGTGAGTCCTGGGACTCATCTTATGAAAAATTATGACTCCCAGTCCAAAATCAATGCATCCCTGTTTTAAAAACAATGAGTCCTTACTCCTATACTAAAGGATGCCACAACCCTCATGATACCAGACTTTCGCATTTAATCTGTACAACATTATCAATAGAAAGCACTCATCTCCATAATACATAAAAGTCAGTGTACCGAATTCAAATTAGAGTCTTTCTAGCGAAATATAGGAAACAGTAACACTGTCACTCTCATCAAAACCTATCTTTATTGTCCTGGCATAAGTACACATTGTTTTTGGGTGGGATTTTCGTATTTTCATATTAACATTAACAAGCCCTTGAGGTTTAGAATCAGTTAGAATCGGTCCTACGAGCCACTGTCAGCCATCTTGGTTCAGCAGTGTGCTTTCCATATATGGCAAACATACTGAGTTACCACTCTATCTGGTAAACAAACATTAGGTCAGCATTAGATCCCATCGGCCGTAGCCCCTTTCTCCCCTCATGAAATTTAGGTAGAACTGTTTTCTGTTTTTATATCACACTTAGATGATATTTCAAGCTGGAAATGTTCATGAAAGTGCAAGTCTCTTCAATTTGAAAGAAAAAAATTTATATCAAAGACAGTGGAATTCAAAGCCATGACCTAGATGGTCCAGTATACTACACTAACCACTAGACCACTGAGGATTTGCTGGATGGAAATGAAATAATTATACATTAATATATAGATTTAGCCAGGGCTCAAAGCGAAGCTCCAATTAATAAATTTATAATTTAAATCAAACAAACTTTTGATCCACAAATCAGTTAACTTATGGGCACATTCATGTGACTTTTGAGGGAAAGGCTAAGTTATTTTAGAGTGAAACATCTTACCTCGAACTGATAACCTTATATGTACACCCAAAAAATAGCAATCATCTTCGATTACATTCAAAATCACAGTAGATTAGGCCTCAAAAACAAATTCTTGGAAAGCAAATCACGCCAAATTTTTTTGCGTTAGACAGGTTTACTTTACAAATTCTTGCCAACAAATCTGGGGGTGTTTAAACCAACCTTTTATAATTTTTACACATCACATTTGAGGTGAAACAGTACTATTTATCATACAAACCTCAGACAGAATATGGTATTTCACAATTTTTCAAGGCAAATTGCACTCAGGAATATTCAGGACGATCAATCGTGGGCTTTACGGCCAGCTAGTTCTCATTTCTACAGTGCGAGCTGTCGGTGTGGTCAAGTGTGTGAATGAACTTTAATAGAGTTATACTTCAACATAATAGCGAATTTATTATTTTTTTTTTTGTTATTTAATGGTTTCAGTTATAACGATATGTAATCTTATAAAGCGTTTGATACACACAACATTTTTTAGTACTCCTGCAAGTGATGTTCATGAACGATGAAACCAAACGGCACGGACAAGCGATTAAAATTGCAAGAGAGACTACTAACAATCAAAAAACGAAATATAATTCGGTGAAACATTTACAGAGACAACAATTTTCATTCACGAAGACAAGTATTAAAGTGTCTCTAAAAATCCCGAGTCTTTAAGCATAAAGCTTAAGCCAGCTTCCCCCGCCGGTGTTTACGGTTTTGAAGGTGAACTCCTTGAAGCAAGAAAATCGCCCAAAGTTTTCTTTCTACAGCCAAATTTACAACTAAATATTCTTCGGAACATTTTCTTTCTATTTGTGGTGAGCAAATATATCTGAAGGCTTTTTAAAGTTCTGTAAGCTTATATCCAACCTGATACTAGGTCAGATCATTGACTCAAATCCTACAAACGTGCATAAACTTGCCGAATAAACTGTCAGCGTGAACTGTGCAAGACTTCATGAAATTAGATATAACAAAAACAAACATCAAATAGAATAATTACTCAGGCTTACCATTCGAGATTCAGTTCCTGAAAGCTATCAAGGAAGGCCACAGTTCCTTGAGAGTTTTAAACCCTCTTACGCATTAACCCCTTTAAGTCCCAATAGTGACCAACAGCAATTTTCTCCCAACAATGTCCATACATTGTCAAGAGATAAGGTTGTGAGAATATAAAAAAAATGATCAGGAAAGAGAAAATGCCTTGATGTTCTATTAAATTCTCCCAGCTAATTCTTAAAGGAAATGTATGGAGATCAGTTTGGAGAATTTGTATGTGGATGTTGGGGCTTAAAGGGTTAAGCAAGGTGAAAAACGAAAACGATGCCATCCAAAAACGAACTACCGAATTTTGACAAGCGACGCATTTCTCAACCAAAAACCCAGTAAACAAACCAGCCATGAATAACAGAAGACTCTTGATAGCAGCTGTATTTCATTTTGTACATCCAGAGGAAAAAGACAGTTAAAAACATCACAAGTTGACACAAAACTCTGTCAGCTTCAGCTGTCAAAGTAAACAACTTTCAAGATGCTGCATAATTTGTCCGCATGAACTCACCTGTCAAATTTTGACCAACCAGAGTATAAAAACTGGACATAGAGCGTGACCAATGCGTGACCATGGTAAGATAAGGTCTTTCCCGCCTGTACTTTTAAAAAAAACTGGCTGAATTTTTCGCTTCTGAGGCCAGTTTGAAATCAAAATCCTAATAGTGCGGGGCCATAGTGACATAAACACAACATATTTGATATGAATCCTTGCAAAAAGAAACTTGAGCCTGCAATCATTTGAAACTGGTAATTTGTCAGCAGATAACTTCAAAAAATACTCGACCTTGATGGGTCGACACTTGAGCCCGCAGTACGGTCAGGTGATACTGGTCAGCAGATGCCCTGTTTTGACAGCTGTCAATTGATCACAACATTGATGTGCAATTAGTTTTCTTTTGGGCTCCCAAACTAGCTAAAAGTGTGAGAGTAAACATTGGTTTTCCTGTGGTGTGGACGTACGGTCAGCGGTTGGTGTACGGTCACGTGATTACCAAGGTAGATTTACTTAGCTATGGAGCTCCGCTATTACATATAGCACCAACCCCAACCCCAAAAAAAGAA